AAAGAGATTATCAAGAGTTGGGTGTTGTTGGTGCGGTAAGCCTTCCAGGATTTGTTCCCCCTGGCCCATCCTGCGCTTAACTGGAGACATTGCAAGAAATGGCTGCTGATCAAATTCAGTGACGTTCATGCTGTTAGTTTCTTTCCAGATTGTCTAGAAGCATCAGTGTCAACAATTATGTTGCTGTTTCTGATGATGGTGATATTTTCTGTCAGCTAGCTCTAGGTCCCCTTCTCTGTCCCATTTTTTTTCTTTCCATTATGAAGCTTTATCCGAATAAATTGACTGGGCTGTGTGGCAATAAAGTGCCACTGTCCTAATCTGGTGTTGCTGTCAAGGTCGACCTGGATGAGTTGATCTTATATCAACTTATACACGCCTTTCGACTCACGTACTTCCAACCACAGCACACTGATGATATCACCTCGTTTGGGTGTGAGACGTCTGCAGCCGGATGGTTCAACTCGGCGAAGAAACCAACGACCATCACTACAATGTGAGCTGCCAATATTCTCTTCAATTGCTTAAGAGAGTTTCGTGTCTGGGGTCTGATTTTTTACTAGGAGAAACAACAAACGAACGCAAAAGGTTCACAAATACAGTGAACGGAGTTACTAAGCACGAGTTGTTTGCCCAGAGGGGATTGATCTTGCGTGCGTTCGTTATAATAATAGAATATGATTACGCAGACTTAATACACTACTCATGAGGCTGCTGAAAGCTCCTCGACAGCCCATGACCGATCTCCTACTGGGGGCTTATTAAGGAGGCGCAATCTTCGAGTTTCCGTCAACCTTTTGTTCTACTTGAACCTAAACTGGACACATTTCGACAATTTAGTTTTGACGGGGTACTCACCTTGAACACAGCTTAAACATGGTAAATGAGAGATTCAGCTGGGTTCCGGGTGACTCTCCCGTCAAAACCAACTTGGTCTGCAAATAAGTGTACTTCGAGAACATGATTACATTTGAATTAGATCGAGAAAATCGTCAGGCTGTAACACCCTTCCGGTGCCTAGATGTCATGCCACCCGAAGGATGCACTAGGGCTCGGTTACTGCCAGGTTGCCCAAGCCTAGACAGGGGAAGTCGAGAGGCGCGGGTCAGGTTCAAATGAGAACCTTTTGGTCAGTGAATTCGCGCTATAACCGTTTGAGCCATCTCACCCCCTAGAATTAGATCCACGTTTGTTTGAGGGTAAGATACTCTCTGGCCCCCGGGATGAAACACGGAAGTTAGGTTGAGGTTCTCTGGTTGCAGAACCTGACGGCCTCGGAGCCCGCGATCCACGACTGTGTTCCATACGCCTTTTGGAAAGTAGACTGCCGTCCATGCGTACTACACTCGATGACCATGTATACCAGTAAGCGCCCAAAAGACTTGGTCCCAGTTTTTGTCCAGTTACAAGTTAGGTAGTCCATCACGGCCAGCAATCTTGGTCTTCTTTGAAATAGAAGCAACTCTGCGCCTGTGGATTCATCAGCACTGCTGCACATCCCCGGCCAAAATGGACGCCTTTAAACTTCTTAAATATTCTCCGCCTATTTTCTGCGTTATGCACTACGGTGAGCTTTTCACCAGTTCATCAAGGGTCCCCTATGCACTATGTTGTCGATATCGACATCGTTATCATCACCGTCAATATCAGTCTGAGGGCACTCCGGTTCGACTGTTGTACATTCTCTTAATTTGGAGGAATCCCTATGATGAGGAGCACAAAAGGAAGGAACGACTTAGCGCTTGCTCACCACAAACACCCAAAATGCCTATGCATCGAAACATTCATTTAGCAATAACATGCACGCTCCAGGAGACCGTGTACCTAGGTGTCGCATTAACTTCTTGGGTCATACTAACGCAAACGTATTATGTGGTGACATTGTTTTGCCTTTTGTCGATTGTGCATTCACGCAACCCAGTCTACATAGAATCGCCGAAGTGCTCCTTTCGGGTTGCGTTTTGTGTCTGGAACTTTGTTTGGGACTTCTGATCTTCCCATATCTCGAACAGTATCGCATGGTGATGACACGAGGACACCAACAACGAACGCAACGAACTCGGAATTCTTTGAGGACTGGCTAGCAGAGTGAAATGTCAGCAAATGTCGACAGTCAGGCTGGAATAACCGGTTGTCATTGTTGGAGAACGCGGCATATCATGTAGACTAACTATACCATAATAACACTAATTTGTTGACAGCGACACAGGATTGGGTGCAAACACTTAGTGCGATCACACAATTGATTTAAACTGTTACCAGCGGAATAGGCTGGCTTGCGTCATCATAGTATAGTTACAGATGGTTAATGGTCAACGTAAGTTTTTACAGGACAAACGCCAATAGAATAGCAGCACAAATCTAAATAATTGGTCTAGATTGACTGTTCACCAAATAAAGACCTTCCCAAATTGTGTTTAAGCGCTGTTCATCACACGTTTCCTTGCAGATTTTTTCACGTTCGATAGCCATGTGTATCAATGTGAGGGTAGTTGAGCTGTGTTCTGGACATTCAGTTCACCCATTAGGAATATCGTTTGTTCTCAACTTGCTAAGCTGAATAGAGTGCTCCGTCTCATTGATCTAGATCGTGGTGGTAAGCTGTTCCTCTATGCGTCTAATAATTCTAACCGTCAGCCGAACGAGAGTTCTCATGGCAGTGTCATTAGACGGTTTCATGTTGGTGCCTCGGAAGTACGAATAATTCAACGAACCCGAGCACCAGAAGAAAGCTCGCAAACACAAGACTTAAACAGTTCACAGGGAAACTGCTTAGTAATTGTGTAGACGGCATCCGCACTCTAGCATATTTTCGCCATGTTTACGCTAAATGGAACCCAAGAGCCTTCAGCGTCCAGAATATCTTTTGGGGTTGTGTGTATCGTGCCAGTCCCTAAATGAGGCGTCCTCTACTGTCCAATCTCATTGAAGCACACTGTAGTCCTCATCGTTCGTCACTACCATCTGAAGTACCCCATTCCCGCTGGAACATTGCTACACAAGTTGAATGGTGAGTGGACTTGTGACTTATTTAAAACTCTTCAAGCCACTTGAGAAGAGTTATTGAAGAATGGCGCTAATATCTACTGTCATTAGACGGTTTCATGTTGGTGCCTCGGAAGTACGAATAATTCAACGAACCCGAGCACCAGAAGAAAGCTCGCAAACACAAGACTTAAACAGTTCACAGGGAAACTGCTTAGTAATTGTGTAGACGGCATCCGCACTCTAGCATATTTTCGCCATGTTTACGCTAAATGGAACCCAAGAGCCTTCAGCGTCCAGAATATCTTTTGGGGTTGTGTGTATCGTGCCAGTCCCTAAATGAGGCGTCCTCTACTGTCCAATCTCATTGAAGCACACTGTAGTCCTCATCGTTCGTCACTACCATCTGAAGTACCCCATTCCCGCTGGAACATTGCTACACAAGTTGAATGGTGAGTGGACTTGTGACTTATTTAAAACTCTTCAAGCCACTTGAGAAGAGTTATTGAAGAATGGCGCATAATATCTACCCAAAATCACCCACAACATGATTTCTACGACATGGTAAGAGCTCTCTTGTATATACACGCCTCGTAGTTTGCTGTCTTTACCCTCGTCTTCTCCACTCTAGCATATTTTCGCCATGTTTACGCTAAATGGAACCCAAGAGCCTTCAGCGTCCAGAATATCTTTTGGGGTTGTGTGTATCGTGCCAGTCCCTAAATGAGGCGTCCTCTACTGTCCAATCTCATTGAAGCACACTGTAGTCCTCATCGTTCGTCACTACCATCTGAAGTACCCCATTCCCGCTGGAACATTGCTACACAAGTTGAATGGTGAGTGGACTTGTGACTTATTTAAAACTCTTCAAGCCACTTGAGAAGAGTTATTGAAGAATGGCGCATAATATCTACCCAAAATCAAAATCATTCTGGTAGCACTAGAATGTCACAATGTCGAGTGTAATTTTTAGAGATCAAAATGGACATCGGGTCCACAAAAACCCTGGGCGAGGATACCGACGGCTTGGTTATCACATCCAAAACCCTGATGTCATTCTGACAGTCACTTAGTCCGCCCTGTCAGCGTTGAATCTTTCCATTCACTCGATGGAGCTCGTCTCATGATTTTACCAGCTGGTCAGATTATAGTGATCAGTGAACACGCAATTCAGAGTAGAAAGCAGATGTGGAAAACCCGATAGGCCTTAATCAGCGTGAAACCGAGACACAGAACTAATACAACTAAACACAAATATAGCAAACAGATCAATATGATAATGAGAAGCATGATAAACGGGACAACCCATGAAGACGGTTTTAAGTACAGCACAGTTATAACGAAAGTCGTTTTTGCTTTTGGATTGTATCAGTCAGCTTATCTTGTGGAAACTCAGTCATTTTTTGCTCTTATACGGCCATTGTGTACCAAAAGCGATGTTTTTTCATACCTGATTCAGGACAGTACAAAACAAGTATGAGGGTAACTTGTGACTTGGCCAGAGCGTCTGCGTTAACATTGATCCACTCTCATTCAAGATTTATCCAAAACAAATGGTTCCTGGATCTCCTCTCCACAGTGCTTTTTTTATTTTTAAGCTGATGTAAGCGTACACTGACTTTTATCTTCCACATAACATGGACATTCAGACGTTCGTAAGGTGATCCGTAGTATAGAAGAGATAGAAAACGTTCAGCTGTAGCACTCTTCCTGTGCCTAGCTGCCATGCCACCCAAAGGAAGCACGAGGGCTGTGATACTGCCAGGTTGCCCAAGCCTAGACAGGGGAAGTCGAGAGGCGGAGGTCGGATTCGAACCACGGACCTTCCGGTCAGCTCTAACCACTTAGGCCATCTTGCCCGATCCGTAATATAACTACAAAATGAATCACCTTAACTCCGTTTGTTGTTTTGCAATGATTTATCAACTTTTCGAAAGTGCTCCTTTTCGTTGGTTGTTGGTTCCATATGTACTCTTTTGGCCGCGTCCATTAAGCAGTTTTTTTTCTTTTTTCAGCTCAACTCTGCTAGTCCTCGGGGCATTTGATTGCGATATTTTAAGTTGCGGCTCTTTTGCTCCTTACAATGAGCTGTCCACGGCTTCTTTTTTCTCCCACTTTTTTTCGCTCAAGTAAGCTCTGCTTTTTATCACCTTGTGACCGTCTTGGTGCCACTCTAGATTGGTATTGCGTTGGTTTTTTTTAACTGCTTGTTACTTTCAGTCTGTTGAAATCACCCAGTTCTTTATTTTCCAACGGTAGCTTTGTTGCTCACTCTCCGATTAGTTTCCCATAATAATATGGTGGAGAGGTTCTCAGCGTCCATTTACCAGACCTGTGATTTTAGTTCCCATCTTTGGAACTTGGAGTTCCATTTTAGACAATTCAAGTATTTTTTCATCTGAGATCTAACGTACCGGCACTTGCAAAGAGTTGGCTAGCTTGTGGATATAGCGGGGAAATATTCAACGGCACGTTCACTTCTGCTGTCTATCTTCTTGAGTATGGGTGCAAACTAATTAAAATGAGGCTAGACTATTATACATCCGGAGATTCACGTGTAAAAAGGTGTTTTGTGACATTTTGCGAAATGCGCTGGGACTCCTCTGCAACAACCTCATACGATTACTTTCATCGAATTGGTTTTTGATTACGGTGATAGAGTAGGCTTTGCAATTTTGATGGCAACAATTGGAGCAGATTTGAACCCACATCAATTGCTACACAAATTTTCTGCCAAAAGTGAAGTGAAGTTAAAAGTTGTAGGATTGTACGCTTCAATAGGTGACTCATGCCGGGCTCAAATACCTGCAACAATATTCATCCCACCAAACTGTTTCGAATACAACTGTATGAAGAACAACTTCAGGAGCAGAAAGTTCAGTTGGGATGCTGTTACCCATGGTCCATTGGTTGATTCTCGTGAGAGATAAACCATTGGGACGGATTCCGAACGTTTTCTTTCCCGGTATAGTACAGACAAGACATGAGAATAGGGAAGCCAGTGGGGCATAAAAAACAGAGAAGACGTAGGTATACAGTGGCACTGGTCGGACTGTTTGCCCCAATGCACCTAAACACCACGCCTCGGTACTATTCAGCCGCATTGAACCAGAGCAATTCGATCAGTCTGATTGTACGGCTACGTTTCCTTTGTTTGGCTCTATTGGCTTCCCTGCACTCATCTCCTGTCTGTGCTGCATTCGGAGAATATTTGAACACCATCTTGACTTACTGCACAGGTTCGGCTGAGAATTGGAATGAACAGCTAACTGTGTGATCGACCGAGCTGTATTCTTAATCAGTCTTGTTGTACAGTGTTTCTAGCTGCCACTGTTTCCTTCACTGATGATTTGGAGAGGTGTGGTAGATACCTGCACATTAGAGGTGGTAGCTGATATAATTGATGTGTGAACACAGGGGTGTCAATTGATTTTTAATTGAGGAGATTGGGAGGTGAGCTATGCTATGTATTTACCTAACTTGAGCTTAATAATGGGGGAAACGCTCCCGGGTGTCCTGCTAAGCTGGCTAGCTTCGCTGCTGAACTGAGGTGGAGGACGTTGATCATTCCGAATAGCTATTCATAGCCTCGAACATCGCCTTCAGGTCAAAGTTTTTCTTTCTTGACCACTCGTGTGCCGAAACTTCCACAGCTACTGACTAACATTTGTCTAGTTCTCCTCGACTAAGTTCAAAATGAAAACCTGTCAGGCAGGGTTTTCACGTAGTCGAGTTCTCACAAACTCACTGAGGATCAAGGAAAGCAACTGGTTTCATCTTTCCGACATCTGATTACAATACTTCCGGTTGGTTTACATTTTTAAGTTAAATCTGTGCCTCTGACTGACAGCGGCGATTTGCTATATCTTTTTGGTCTATACATTTGGTATACCCATATTTCCTCCTTAATTCCCCGACTCGCTTTTTTCACGCCTCTTCCATCATAGTAATGAAGACGGCCAGTCGCAACGTTTACGCGGATACTAGGAAACATCTGATGTTAGATCAGAACACAAAACTCATTTGCCAGGGATTCACTGGCAAGCAAGGTACATTCCACTGTCAGCAAACATTAGATTATGGTACCAAGTTGGTCGGAGGCGTTTCTCCCGGCAAAGGTGGAAGTAAACACTTGGGTCTACCAGTTTTCAACACAGTGAAGGAAGCCAAAGAAGCCACTGGAGCAACTGCGTCTGTTATCTACGTCCCACCCCCGTTCGCCCCGGCAGCAATCAACGAGGCAATCGATTCAGAGATCCCACTTATTGTGTGCATCACCGAGGGTATTCCACAGCATGATATGATCCGCATTAAAAAGCGCCTGATGGAACAGGTAAGTCGCTGGGTTTTCGCATATGCCACATAGTTTTTATTGTGAAACTATGTTTTCAACTTGATTTTGGGCTACTACCTTATGACTGTCTACCTTTGAGGGTGATCTCTTTTTATGGCGCACTATTGTTAATAAGATCTCCGACCTAAGCGCTTGCTGATAAGTTGTAATTTTCTCCTCTGTAGAATGTCAAACATAATGTGCGCGCATTTCAACCACTATAATGTTCCGGAGCAAAAACTTATATATAGTGCTTATCTATAGCCATAATTTCGTGAGAACAGGTATTAAGACGTATCGTTTTACGAGCAAACGTTTTTTTCGATCTGATATAAGTTGCTCTGGGTAAGGCTTCCTCTTAGGCTTGGTTTGTCCTATAAACAGTTGAGCTTCTGTTTCAGTCTTGTGAAACACATCGTAGTATGTTAGCCTTCCATCAATGTAGAGCCGTTCTTAGGACCTTGTGCGTGTTCTAACTTCCTTAACAAAGTCACGGTTTCCATTTCGAGCCGGGTTTCCGTTCAACATCATCCTAAACACGGACGGTATCCAACATTTGCTTTGTCGGATATTTCGACTGCCCTTCAATTTGTTATGAACACGCAACTTCCCCCCGATCTGGTAGGTTTATTGTGACAACTAAACCCGAAAGACCTTTGTTCATCATTTCCTTATCACCAACTCATTCCCAAAACTAATGTCGACTGTACTATCGTGTACGAAGGCGATAGTTACTACATTTTTTGTTGTCGTCGGCATGTCTCGTTTGATCCTATTCTGGCTAAAATGTTTGCACCGTTCCCATCGGCATACTTAGATTTACTATACATTATTACTGTCATTATCATCATTATTAATTCCTGCATTCGAAACACCTGTCTGGTTTCTTTTGGGGTGACATTCTTTTCTACCGTTACGTATCCCTCTGACGTTTCCAGTCCTCTTCCCGGTTAATCGGTCCCAATTGCCCCGGTATCATCAAACCAAACGTGTGTAAAATCGGCATCATGCCAGGTCACATTCACACCCCAGGAAAAATTGGTATTGTCTCCCGGTCCGGTACTTTGACCTACGAGGCGGTCTTTCAGACATCCCAAGTAAGTGACAAACGATACTTCTGATCCGTACACTGGCTTTTCATCTGTTGAATCAGTAAATAAGTTGGTTAGTCTCCCATTGCCGGCATCCTTCAAGTGCGCCTTGTCATGACGTCACCCATCACTTTTTTTAAGGAATGACGGCAACCGAAGCTGTCTCTGTGACGGTTTCCGGCTTTCACAGACGTGTATTTCCTCACTCCACTCAGCTCCACAGAGAAATATTTTCAATGAAAAGGAATTATTTTTCAAATAAATTCTACTTTCCCGTTAGTGGCGTTGTTTTAGCTTTTATTTGTGAATAGTTTGGTGTCATTCACTCATAAGCTTCAAAAGCTCGCGCCTGTGTCGCCTGCGAACGCGCTTGGTTCATTCTGAGACAGACAAATGACCGTTCTAGGTCATCCCGTTCATTTCGCAGCTGCGTAAACTCCCACACAAATGCTCCTCAGTTCGCCTCGCATTTGCCTGTCTGCGTTCGATCCACTTTTGTTGTTGTCGTCAATGTCACACTTGATCAAAAGACAGGTTTTTTTTCCATCTTAGCTTTAGCGAACCCATCACTGCCCAATAGGACTCACTAGTCCAAAACGAAGTACGGTGAATGGGTTTGGGTTTTAACGAACCAATTAAGTCGACAAAACAACCGCATTTTTATTGGTATGAGGAAGTTTGAGAATTTCGATAGGTTTCACCCTGCAGTTGAAGTCAGTCTATGTCAAAGAGTCATAAATCACTGTGCAGCTGTTTCATCTTTGCTGGGACTCGCCAACCATGTGCACTTGACAAATCTCTGGCGGAGATTCGAACCGGCGACCTTGAAAACCGTACCATCCGACCACTAGCAGCTTCTGCTTTATGATTGTTACCTGTGAAAACCACAAGCTCGCTGCTTAGTAATTATCAGGACTGTGAAACATTATGAATCGTTCCTAATGTTCACTGGTAGTCAGCTTTCTAAAAAACTTCGGCAAATGCGCTAAACCAAGAGGGAAAACGCTTACATTAGATTTTGTAAGCTTTAGGTAATTCACTGGTTAAGACATTAGATTATTGACCGGAAGATCTATAGTAACTCCAATCCAAACCTTGCTTTCCGATTACCTTAGTCCAGGGTTGTAACAATTGACAGAAACTCAGGCCTCGTGGTTCCTTTGAGCTTCACTTGAGGGATGCTAATTACCATTGTCGATTGCTTGTATTTTGTTGCTTCTGACCTGTTCTACATGCCACCACGTACATGGTCAATGAACTAAAATTATGGCCCAGCACTGAGCAACACCACCATGAGCGTGACTCAGCAAACTTTGAGACACTTCATGTTGCAGCTGCGCCCGAGTAGCGCATCTGACAAGACTTCTGCTCGTTACTTTGTGAATTATGCCGGCCTAGTTTTTCCTACTCACTTATCTACGTTTATTTTCACGACAGGAGGGGCACGGACAGTCATTGTGCATTGGAATCGGTGGGGATCCTTTCAATGGAACTAACTTCATTGACTGTTTGGAAGTGTTTTTGAAGGACCCCCAGACGGAAGGCATCTTGCTGCTCGGCGAAATTGGTGGTGAAGCAGAAGAGAAGGCTGCAGCCTACCTGAAGGAGCACAACAGTGTAAGTCTTTGCGCTTTTCCATGGTGTTTCTTTCATGTTCCTACTGTGCCGACTTGCCTTAAATCGAGCTGCATGTGAATACTATACTGCATATCACTGAAGAAGTTCACCTATCTTCAGAAAGGTCATTCTCCGGTGAGACTCCTGATTGTCAACAGCAGTGTTAGCCGTCACTGTTCCCTCTACAGGCATCAAATATACCTTTTTGCCACCATCTTTCCTCTTCTGTGGATACTGTATCTTTCCACTCTATCGATTTTCCCCAAGGGACCCTCACTTCTACATTGAGCTTCATTAAGACCACATTGCCACAATCTGCTGGGGTGTACTTTCGTGAACCGCTATCGTGTACTTTTCGATTTTACCTTTGCCCCAGATCCGGCTGATTTTTCTCGGTGTCGCACTTCATCCCTCTAGTTTCCAACGACGGGCGCATCTTTCTATTTGGTACAGTACTCTCTCTCCCCTTCAGGGGGGCTCTACAGTGCTTCCTGGATGGGAGTGTTTCATAGTGAGAAAGTTATCCACCGTAACCGTTACAAGTGTTTCCCACACCTCGTCATTTTCATTTCGTCTGTCTGGAGCTTTTGGCAACAACTTGCTTGCTAAAGTCCCGACCGTCAGTCGAAGGACATCCGGTGTAATTGACCTTCAGGATTGTAACAGATGCAGGTCAAACATACGTGAGCGTCAACCCATGTATACCCGCGAACCATCGACCATTTTAACACGCCGTTGTTTTGTTAGCATTTCCGTGTAATGTAATATAGACGCCCCTGTAAATCAGAATGGTCGGTTTCCGAGTTTTCTACGGGACATAAGATAGGATTATTGTTTTAGCATCGTCCCGCGCTTACTCTACTCCTCAAATACCAGGCAAGTGGCACTGCAAGATGCTGTTCATCTGGAGTCCTTATATCTGCCAGTTAGTTGATTTAACGTGGTCAAACAGCATGCACGTTCAGGGAGGGGAAAGAATAACTTGGTTCTAAAAATTGACGAAGCTGTCAGGTGGACGCGTTCAACAACAGCCGGACGCCCAACGCAGCCAATAATGCATAAATCGTTTTGTCAGGAATTCCACTAAAAGCTTAATATTAATTCCGCCAAAGGGTGAATTGTTCTTGTGTACATCGTCGATGGGTCTGATTTCTAGTATCTAATTCCCAAGTATCTGTGTGTACAAACTCATTTTTACCGGCATTTTCTTCACGAATACCTTCCACCGGGACCTATGTTTGTTACGTGGTACTTTCATCTTACCCATGTTAATGGCATGTGCAATAAGCTCAGGGAATGGCCCTAAGCCCTTCTGCAGCGCACTCTTGTGTACATTACCGGGTGTCTCTCGTCTTTCAGTTGGATATCGTTTGTGATGCCATCACGTAAAATTTTCACAAGTTCATTTTGTCCATCCATTTCTCCGTCCATTTAAGGGTCCTAATCGCAAGCCAGTCGCTGCGTTTATCGCTGGTCTGACAGCGCCACCCGGACGACGAATGGGACATGCAGGTGCCATTATTTCGATGGGAAAAGGCGGTGCAAAAGAAAAGATGGCTTGTTTAGAGGACGCAGGAGTTTGCGTCACTGCGTCCCCAGCTCAGCTAGGTGCAACGATGACGAAGGTAAACAATGGGTTTTGTTGGCCCTGACTGCACATTCCGTGGTCGCAGAAGGCTGTCTTTTCATCACAGATGCTAGTCGTCGTTTCCTTAAGGTCGTCCAGTAATTACTATTAATCCAGTTTAATTGTACAGCTGTTCCCGCACTTCTTTGTTCAAAAAAGAAGTTCTGATAGAAGTGTTTGAGGTGTAGTAGGTTTCTACAGTCATTCAAATGCTAAAACGTCGCCATAGTTGGTCCGGAAATAATCCGTTCTTTGTGAGAAAAGGCGAAAACTTGAACGCCGCGTTGCATAGGTTTCTGAGAAAACTGAATACTATTCTCCTTTATCCACTCATTGACCGCGATGCATGCATCTACGAGTTGATTGGGGGGAGTTGGACTACTGGTAAACGTTTGTTTGCCTAAGTCGACCAGAGATCTCCTAAGACAACGTCAAACGATCGACATCTTGCAGGCCACAACCTCAGTGAATCCACCGGATGATTCAAAGCAGTTACTGTCATGACTTTCAAATGGTGTTTGACAGCAGCTATTAATTTGGACAGTTAGCAGAACTGGTCGTTGCACTGTAGAGTGACTAAGATTTTCGTGGTCTGCATCTTTCTTCTTAAAAAGCCCTCCAGCACCCAGGAAGGTCATAGGGGAATTCATCAATTCTACTTGCCCTTAGTTTCACAGGTCGCATTGATTCGTGGGTATGCAGTTCCTCTTTCTTAGATTCCTTACTGCATTGATGCGACCTTGATCAGTTTGTGCTCTCCGTGTTCATTTTCAGCGTCATGCATTGTCCAGTTAGCATGCCCAGTTATTCTTCGTATTATCCTCGGTCGCCGTCTTGTAAATCATACCAATATTCCGCATTATCCAATTTCCGTATGCCGAGGAATGTTAATCTGTGCTCTTTGAAAACCTTGGACTATGCATTGTGCCCCTGCTATCATTCAAACTTTGATAGTACTCTCAGCTAGGGAGGTCTTGTTCGCTTCAGCCGAACGATTCTTTGAGTTAACCACCTATCGTGATCAATTTACCATATCATCATTTACATCTACAATCGGGTGACCAATAGCGATGATCGGATAGGTGTTCATTCGCCTGTTGGCAGCCCACCGTGGTAGTTTAGGTCATGCTGATCCATACATGTTTTAGTAATACGCAGCTTTCTACATTTTTATTGCCTTCTGGAGGCATTGATCATCCACTCTTCGTTTACCATTTTTACTTACAGGCTCTTCGTGAGGCCAAATAGGTACAATCATGTCGCTGTGGATACAGTCCCTGAGCCGCGCTTTTTTTCGTCCTTTTGTAGTTACCCATATTTCCTCCCCACTATGTAAGAAGACAGAATTTTGTGGTTATTTTTGACGTCTTGGGCGAATTGCTTGTCATCACAGTGAAACCATTAAACGCCTGTTCCGAATTTCAAAAAAATAACCATTCTCAATGACTGCGCATCTCATTTTAAAGATGTGTTACAAGAGATCTACTGAGCTAGAGGCGGAGAAATTTTGAAGCATTCCCTGGATTACGCCTCGTGAGGTGACTGTTTTCATCCTGTGGAATTAGGTCTCAGCAGTCTGTTCCCTAAATCATTCATGGTTGTAAGCAGCAATCACCGATAAGATGTGATAAAACTTTATCCTGCAGTTTCGGAGATAGCACCATTCCAAGACAGTACACCCCGCCGTTTAAGGTCCTATCTGACATCCATAGGTGGCGTCCTGCCACTTATACTTCCCTCAGTTTAGTTGGTTGAAGCATCTTCCTTATGGCACTGTATCTTATTGCTGTTGGTCGCCTTTCGTCTTTGTACACTTTCGGGGAACAAAATTGAAGCACTTCTCCTAGCTGTTGTCAGTTTTTTCTTTAATCTTTGGTCTCGTTTTAAGTGAAGTCAAACCAATCACAGATCATATTACCTACTTGGTTGTTACGATGAGCAACTTGTCATTTTTAGCGGGGTTCGGTGAGTTCATATCTCAGCGAATCGCATCGATTTCCCCATTCATATGGTAGGTTGTGGGCAACCTCCTTGCGGAGAAATACTCCCTAGGACAGAAACATAGGAACGAGAGTACCTAACATCTGCGCTCTCGCACCGTGGTTTGTACAGTCGGCACTTGTATTGTGGTTTATATTTCAAGTCCCTCGTCTTCGATTGAGAAATCGAAGGTTTCTGTCCTTAGTGTGTCCCGAAGCTCTCTCGCAGACACTTTTTTCAACTGGACTTGTATCTTGTTGTTGTCATATAAGATATGATGATTCATTGGGTTGGAAGCGATTCCACTGGGCGGTAGGTCCGTCGTTCGAACTCAATTTCTCATCATCTGGACTGCTCCTGCCTAGGCTTGGGCAACTTGTCAGTATCTCAGCCCACCCAACAGCGCACTGAAGATGTCTCCCCGAATGTTGACGAAACGTTTGCAAATCAATTGCCAAGCTCAACGAACAGATCAACAGCCACCTGATCAATTAACAAGTATCTCAGCCATTGTGCTTCCTTCGGAGAGCATGGCAGCTAGGCGCCGGAAGATAAGGTGATAAGGGTGGTTCAGTGGTTAAAGCGCGAATTCGCTGGCCGGAAGATCCGTGGTTCTAACCCGACCTCTACTTGGGCAACCTGGGAGTATCCAAACCCTCCTGCTTCCTTCTGATGGCATGACAGTTAGGCACCGAAAGGGTGCTACAGTTGAACGGTAAAATGAAAGTACGCATAGCTCCTGGTGGAACTTCAATCTCTTCTTGACCTCTTTGTGCACCTGCCCATAGTCTTCTTCATCAGCCTCGGTGCAGTATGATTCACCGGTTGTCTTGATGCGTATCCGGATATCACAGGCAGCCTAACAGGCACCCAAAACGTTAGGTTTTCTCTTCACTGTCATGGCTACAGACTGATGTGGTGTTGGGATGCTCTGTTGGGCCAATGTATTAGCCTGTGAAAGATCGGTTGCCGACATTGTCATATTCGAAGGATAAGCACGACACAGGACATACTTTGGATATTCTGTTCAATTCCTCAGTCTGCCCGTGAATATGAGTTCAAAAACAGTGCGTACGGTCGACTCCTCCCCGCCTGGACACAAAATATCTCTGGTCATGACGTTAGTTCCTCGAGTGAACTTCATATACACTCCGAATACCCTGCAAGAATAATTCGAATTGCTGTAAACAGCTCTGTGACCAAGCGCCTACCAGGAGGCATCCTTCAGAAGTCGTAGCACGACACAACGAACATCCTAGAACGTGCCACTTCCGGTTGGTGAAATGATTCTGCCTTTTCCTTCAACCTCATGCCATCACTTTAACTGCAGCTGGGGTTGTTTTTATTGGAGCTGAAGACAAAATCCTCCGTCTCAGTGCTTGAAGTCCTTTCTCTGATGAAAGCTAGACGTACGGCTGGTCGAAATTCACCATTGTTGGTCACTATTTATGTCATCGGACTAATCACCCTGTTGATGCCAGCTCAACGCTTCCTTTTCTACTGCGAGTTTATTGGTTGTTGGAATAAATAAGATCCGATTTTCTTGAGCGTTTGCTGCGTGCCACCACTTTGCTGTCGGGATGGTCTGACTGTCAAGGTACACCAGCCCCGGTGTATATGAATGTGTGAACTTCCTTGTACGCAGTGTGCTTGACCTTGTTTACTGCTTTTTGATTGTGTTATATACAGTGCAGCTGAAGAAATGTGAAGTTACATCCCACCCTTCATCTTCCTGTGCTATTCAAACGGATAAAGAGGCAGTGTTTTGAATCATAAAGTCGGTGGCAAATCGTATAATTTACCAGCACCGGGTCAAGACGAATGGTAATGAGGACCGGCGCTGGGTCGCCAGAGGCGACTTCCATTTGTAAGTTTATATAGAAGGAGACTTCCTAGCGAGTTGAGTCGATGGGCGCAATTTGGCAAACTGCGCTAGCGCACAGACAGACCGGTGTCAATCGGGATGACCGTGTCAGAATCAGTAGGGAAATAAGTACCGCATCAGCGAAGTCGGAAATCGGTGGACATATCGACGGAAGAATCAAGCCATAATAACCCCAAAAATCTTTTTTTTTTCGACTTTATCACCCACCCCAGTTTCGGACGGCATTCTGATGCTACTTTATGGCTGTTATCCAAGGCAATAAATATCCAACTAATCACGCGCCATCATGGCCTCGTAATTTGATTCGGTCTCAGGACAACATTACCTATTCCTATGGTATAAATCGTTAAAGCAAAGCAATTTGCCACGTCTAGGAGAAAATAGTTTGATCAAATTCGCCACCACCAGATTCTACCAAATGTACACAACCACGTTCGCGCAACTTCGCAGGCTACCAGGGCGTCATCTACCCCAATCGCAAGTAAACGCCTATTTACCCATGGAGACCAGCATTCTACGCGGTAGTTTTAGGTATCTTTAGTGGGCAACACATTCCAAAATCCACATGCAACCTATTGCGGCACCTTCCACACTTGGGATGCCGCGCTCGAAATTTGTCGCAGGTTGACGGGGAGCCTGTCAAATGTGAACTTGGTGACTAGGTGGTTATGGTGGGAGTGAAACCGTCACCATCAAGGAGTCACTATCGAAGAAGTTAAAACCTCACAAGACACCAGACTGTCGTCTGCCATGTACTTCAGGTAGTCTATCGTCTACCGGTAAAACCTCGTGAATACTTCTGTTCTATGGTAAGGTAACAGAATGCTACACTTTCTTGTGGATCAAGGGCTACTTGGATTCTTGTAACTCAACTGTTCAGGAAGTTTTGTTTTCAAAATTCAACCGCCATAAGCAATTTAACATGCGGGAGAAGTTTGTTTTCACTTTCCTTTTTTACCGCGACAGTCGTTCCTTGGGTGTGCTATTCTGGGAGCTTTAGATTGACAAAGGTGCAGGTCTAGTCTTCTCAGGATGTTGATGGGTCACCTTCCCTCTGGATAGGGGTGACTTTCGCAGGCTTTTCATGTATCTCTCGGAAAACGCGCTGTGGCAGAAGTGCTCCTGAACGTCCGGTTTACTCTTGGTCACCGTCAGAAGCCTTGTGAGTAAGTGGGACGTGGTGCAATTATGGATGGTTGTATGTCAACCGAACGGCATCGCCACCACTGAGGTCCGGTCAACTGAATCAATGTGAACCGCGTTAGCAATTGCTATGAAGGTGCCATGGTCTACGTCAAAGTAACGCTCCGACCACACAGCCGAGTGGGCGGGCCACTAGTTTATTCAGTGGCAATAACCGCCGGGCATACTTTTACCATCGACCCAGTACGCAGATGTCCATGCAATATAGATCTGAGGTGAATGGACGTAGCCAGAAATTCATGGATCGTAATTCGGTGTTCATGATGGGGTATCTTAATTTCTTACGCAAATACCGGTCAACCCACGGCTTGCACGGGTACCTGTCCTCGCAAACACCCTTGTTTTTAGAGGGGGCAGATGAACGGCAAATGATACGACACGCCTCCGAACCAACCATAAACATCCAACACAACGAGCAGCGATACTGGATGTTCAGTTTACAAACTTGTTGCAAGTAGACAAGTGGTCGCGTGTTCGGAATTTAATTTTCGCGAGGTGCACACTGATGATGACTCAGTAGGGATGAAACAGCCCTGCAATGCTTCTTGACGTTTCAGCGGAATGACACGTTATTGGTGTAAGTTTATCAATCATCCTGTTTGACTCTCTTCATCGTCTAGTCTATCAGTTGTTGGTAGACGAAAGTTAGTGCAAGAAAACCAGGCGGCGGAATCCTTGAAAGTGACGGCCATTTACCTCAAAATACTGTTTCGATGGTTACATCTTTTTAATTCCGTGAAGCAAGCAACCACGATCAAGCTTGCATCCATCCTGCAGTACCTATGGGTTGTTTGACCCTTGGTTTTTGCGTGTCCACATATCTAATCCCCAGTCTCCTCGATAAGTATTCTCACCCAAACGAGCATCGTTTGGTGATGATTTAGACCAGGGTCTAATGTGTACCGAAGTCGACAGAGGAGCTACGTACCCGTCAAAACGATTGCATATACGGATTGACACCGTAGAAACGGCAAGAGGACTATTGGCTGCACATCAGAAAGTTGTGGGTCTGTTTTTCCAGTTTAGCAACTAGCTTGGAAACATTTCGCCAACAGTCGTGGGGACATCATTAATACGTGATGTTCCCACGATTGGTGACAAACCGTTAACAAGCAAATTGCCTAGCTCGTAGAACAGTTACCTTATCTACAACCCGTTGTCGCAAATCGGTTACTTATATTTGCATATATTTCTAGAAGGAAAATATTCTTCCCAAATGTAGATCAGATGCGTCACTGGGGATCTTCAGAAAGGACGTAGAGTGACGCAGCGAATGGTTGTGAGTGTAACCCGGCTTCTTCAAAAGTGCATCAATCCATCATTTTTCCATAATTTTGATGCGGTGTTTGGCTTCACGGTACCATGATTCCTCAGACTGTACTAGCTGCAACGTCGGTCCTTAAGTCGCAGCCATACTAACGAGACCAGTGGAGAATAGTTGGGCCAAAAACGGATCTTTTGTTTCCAGTGACTCCATAGCTATGCTCGACCGATAAACCGGAGACGCCCAAAACCAGGGGGACACTCAAGACACGTTTACTAGAGAGTTATAAGTTTTTTTAACTTTCCATGATTAGACGTAGTCTAGGTAAAGCGTTACTTACTTAAATTTCCTCTTACTTCCGGATTAGAATGCAAAAGCGGATGAAAACTTGAAGAGGACAGATGCACTAGAGACGAAACTGTTGCCAGCAGAATGCGTTGTTCACCAATAAAATAAACCTCTATTATCGTTTGCATGAAGTTTGGCCAAGCGATTAACAAGGCACGTGCAA